TGATGTATCATCGGCAAAAAGGCGAATGTTACTGTCTATACATTCTACAATATCATTATTATAAATGATGAAGAGAAGTGGTCCTAAAACGAAACCCTGTAAATGCTTAAAATGTTTCGTAAGATTATGACTGCAAAATCTAAAAAGCTAAAACTCTTGTATGCCTGTATGTTCACTTGTTTTCACTTATGTACTTATCATCATACCGTTAATTGCATCTTTGCTTCATTTAATATGAACACATGCTATATTTATCTATGGAGGCGGTGGGGTTGCCTCGTGGTTAAAGCGTTGGCTCGTCACGCCGAAGACCCGGGTTCGAATCCCCACATGGGTACAATGTGTGAAGCCCATTTCTGGTGTCCCCCGCCGTGATGTTGCTGGAATATTGCTAAAAGCGGCGTAAAACCAAATTCAGTCAGTCAGTCAGTTATTTATCTATGAACACATGAGTTTTCAATTATTTTCGTTTACTTGTTACCATCATAATTTTGGAATTGTTATGTTGCTGGGGCGGTATTTATATAAGAATTAAATGCTTGTATACCAACCCAGGTTTCAGAAAATAAATATGTTTAAACCAATAAACAAACCGAAGCCAGGACTTAATCCAGGCATAAATAGTCATGTAGGTGATAATCCCGTTAACTAAGATATCAATATCAATTAAGTTTCGTCAGGAAACTGTGGGGTTTTTATGTTTAAAAGTTATATTAAAGACAACCGAGAATTAACTACTGAGCACCAGTACAACTCGCCTTTTACAGAATATCTCTATTCTTATTTTTAACTTATATACTTTTAACTGAAAACTAAACATAATTAATATCAACTGTGAGGTATTGTTAATTTTGTCCCTCGACGTCAGTGTAGCTTTATCTCTGTGAGTCATTCTTACTGTGTCTCTCTTCATGTCACCTTCAGGTCCTCAGAAATACTGCAAAAACCGTCTATGAAGCTGATATTAGGCTGCATGATGTAAATGTTCACATCGCGTTCTCCACTTGTGTCCACTCTCTACATGTAGTGTCTCTCATTGAAGGAAATTATCAAATCAATAATCTCGTATCTCCACCAATTCCCTTGATGCATTTGTGATGCACTTCCTTTAATTTACCCTTTTTTAGATTTATTAGTGTAACCATTATGTTTCAAATATTTAAAGCTATGCCAAGATCCCATTATCATTCAGTGACATTTTTTACAATGATGTAAATGTGTAAGAAATTACCGTTCAAAATGCATCACTAAACAATCAAGAAAAGATATTACATTTAATTATACTATTTGTTACAGAACAAATCGCAAACTTGACCCATCTTGCACACAGAATCGTTATTCGCTGGAGCAAACGTTATGCCAGCATGTGGCTTTTGTTTTGTCTTACTATTGTATGTTCCTAAGTATTCAGCAAAACATCATTCACAGCCATGCTCTCTCAGTGTTCGAAGTGGAAATCTGAAGCTCCTAGCTCTCATGTATCTCCCGAAATGCAGCAGAATTAAGAGAAAGATGACGTTGGCTCATTAGCATATGCGTACGTCTTAACTTTGATACGCACCCATCGGTGATCATCATAGCGTACTTGCGCCAGACGAAAACATAGAAACCACACCCACTAATATATTCTGTGTGTTATATTATCATTTGTGTGACAGATTTCAATATTAACAGGTGCGAGATTCAAACAATATACTCACAGAGAAAGGGATGTGATCATACATGTTTCATGTGGCTTGCTGGATGTTTGTCTGGTGAAACATGTGCGTTCGGAAGAGTTGACGCTTTGACTGTAGGCTACTCCACCACTCACCCCATGAAGACGATCGTCAAAATGAACATGACACTATCTGATGTCCAATGGTTTCTATACATTTGTATCAAGAGATGACTTCGAATTCATGCAATTTCCCCAAATCTTTGTGATACTTTAAGATGGAGACCAGTGTGTTCTATTGGCATCGATTCTGTACTCGAGTTCAAAAGATAACTGCACACTTTAATGATATCAAATGGATTGCCTGCAGCAAACACGTCAAGATGAGGAAATAGTTTTAGTTCGCTTCTGGTTATTTTGCACTCATAACCAGGAGTATCAATTATTCATGCAAGGATAAAGTTCCCGATGGCTAATTGTATAACATTTTCTTCAGTAAGTGACTTTTGTTTTTTATAACGTTTCGACTCTGATCCAATCATATTGTCATCAAAATATAGTTGATCGTAATCACGTAAAAAATATCCTTCAATTGATTCCATAAGTGCAATACAAAATCTAAAACCCCTAAAGAAATTATATTACATTTTTATCTGTAAATTTTCTGGAAAATAAATCCACCATAAATATGATAGAACCATCTAAAGGTTTCAAAAACACTTAAGCGATACTTAGCATTTGAAATGTACATGTACTTACAATGCTCTTTTTCAATATATTAGTTTGAATATTCCTGTCACATGAGTGAGTGGGCGTATAGTGTTTGAAAGCGCAATAATGTAGCAATTTTCTATCGCAATAAGAAGTCTGCGAAAATATTTGCGAAGTCTGTTATTTATCAATATCCCATATCACTGAGGCTTTTGACAATCCTTTAGGCAAATGTATCATATATCTTGTATATTAATTTCCTCCCCGTAAAATCAATTCAAAATTCAGGATCTATTGAGTAATCTCCGTACGCTGAATGTCCACACAGGCATTTGAGCTATGATTATGGTAATTGAAGCGCTGTCAGTTTTAATGATGTCAGTTAGTGCTTAATTGATCCCAAGGTGATGATAATGTTCGCATAAACTACATAACAATGCTCCAGCTACTCAAAGTCAACCGATATTTTTCTAAATACAGTACAATTGATTATGGTCTCAATGGTGTACATCAAATATTCGCTATAGTTGATAACATGCCTGCGGTGTGATACACCTTCAAATACCACCACTACCATCTATTGGCATTCTAGAAACATTCTAACCACTGAAGGCCTTGTGCTATATATTTTGACGTCAGCACGCCCACTGCTTCTGTGATGCTTTTTCCAACCAAAATGTGAATACTGATTTACACGGTAAAACGAACTTAACGATACGTCGTAAATAAAAATTAGTGTAGAGCCAGGTGTACCAAAGAAAATTTGAGCCCTTCGAGATTCAGACATCTGACAAGCTGTTTAATCAACTCGTCCATCTTAGACTCTCAACTTGATGGCGATGAATGTGGTTGCGTTACTTCAAAAGTCAGTAATCTTGAAAATAGTTGCCAGCCCAACACGTTCCCAGCCAATGTGGACGATTCAGTCGATGTTGATGGGTTCATAGCATGGCCAACAATGGTCGCTAGACCTAGATGCCTACCACACGCAGTCGTCTCATCTTCCTGCTGATGCGGCGATGCATCTTGTGTCTTCAATACAGGCTATGTTGATCACAATCAATATTGAGGGTTTGTCATTGAGCTATTACACCACCCCTCTCCGAAGGACTGTCGTCCTTTCTATCACCTGGATATCTCAATGATACTGTTTGTACTTAGACGAATTAGACGGATAACCAAATGTAATGTTTTTGCTTTCGGTCTTTTTTAACATTTACGCCACTTTATATGTTTGTTGTCTTAATACATAGAACAAGTTGTAGACCTGCTAAATAAATTCCGTGATATATGTGGATCATCCTTGTCTCTGTCCAGACAGAAATTCCATACATAACAAATGCTTCTCCACAGAGATCAACAACGTCGTAAAACCCTATTTTACATGTTCGATCGGCCATGTAATTCATTCATTTATTAAAAGCAGTTAGTGAGTCTACGTGTGAAACGTGAATATCAAAGAGTCTATGGTAAATCCTGAAGGAACAATTAGTTCTATGACAACAGTTCGAAAGCAAAGCAAACGTTTCTCACAATAGAGAATATTGCGTTGTGTCTAAAACATGAATTATTTGAATGTATTTGACGTAGAACATATTTTTAGACCGGATGCTCATAACTAAATCAAAAGGGAAAATAATGTGTACAACAATATCTGTCCTAGTTTGAAGGAAGAACACAAACGTAAAAACCTCAGGGTCAAGGTATGTTTTTGTTATGTGAATAACAATTCATCGAGGCATCGAGAATGTGGTCGTATTGATTTGGTTTTGTTGAGATTGTTTTACCATTGAAATGACAGCCAGATAATATAAGTAATCTCTATGAATGAACATCTGTTTCCCATTCTGCCCTACTTTCAGCACGGTTTTCACTGCTGTGGGTTGTCCATTGCTCTCAATAGTCATTACTTTATGCAACTGAATTGTGAATAACTGAATAATTGATATTACAACTGTTGCTCTTTTGACAGATCTTTTGACAGCTGTGTGATCAGATCAGTGTAGTGTGACGGCCGGGATATGCCCTGTCTCCTCAAGCTGTAAACTACCAATTATCTACACCGTAAGTAGCCGAACAAAAGAACTCCAGTGTTAGTGATTTCATAAATTTTATGTGAACTCCAATTGTTCTCTTTAAGTATTGTTTTACCATCAGATTAGAATACAATTATGTCCTTATTCACCCTATTATGTCAGATTCAAAACTAATAAGTTGTCTGTGATTTGAAATAGGCCAAGTATAAACAATTTCCTGAAATTCGTCTCCTATTCAGCGTCCACTGATGTTCTTATTCTTATTTTCTTATTTCAGCTTGTAAGTCATTTGTAGAATGTACTCCTTATGTCCTATTATCCGAGCGTTCAGTGTGCAGCTATTCTTTAGATGATTCCATACAACGTGTGTGCTATTTTGGACCATTTCAACATCTTCCAGCTTTTCGCCATCTAACACAATTCTTGTTGATGATCATAATATCAACCAATGCGTCTAGAATGGCTCATGTGTTGCTATTATAAAATCACAATAAACCTAAAAGAATATTGAAATCTGTCATGTACATTTACCCATTGCTGTATCTGTTCCAGGCGCTGATCAGATCATTATATCTACTGAACCAGCATCTATTCCAATGGAGGATGTAACATATCTTCCCCTGAACACTTCTCTCGTTGACGAGTTCCTCTATTACGATGATGCCAACTCATCGACAAATATGATCCAAAGTACAGATCCCGCAAACGAAACAGCCTTGGAAATAACCCGTTGTATTATACAGAAAGTATGTGTGCCTGTGGTGGTTGCCCTGGGCTTCCTGGGCAACGTGCTCAATATGGTGGTGCTCACAAGACGAAGCATGAAGTCCTCAACCAACTGCTATCTAACAGCCCTTGCCGCTTTTGATTCACTCTATCTTGTATTCAGCTTGACTCTTAGCTTCAAGCACTACGAACCGTTCCGTCACATGTTGTCATACATGCATTGGTACCGTGTATGTCGTGTTCTCAGTGACATGTCTGCTAACGTGTCTGTGTTTCTTACTGTTACCTTCACTGTGGAACGTTACATCGGAGTTTGCCATCCCATGCGAGGAAGAACGTTGTGCACGGTCCAGCGGGCGAAAGTCATCATCGTCTTGGTGGCTTTGGTAGCCATGGCCTGCACGACTCCGGAGTTTTTCGAAATGAAAGTGATTAACGAAATAAAAAATAACGTCACTGTGCCGACGGTCCGGTATACGGATTTTTCCAAGACGTATAGCTACAAGATTGGATACTACTGGTTCTTTGTTACGATTTTCACTTTTCTACCATTACTGTTGCTGTGTGTGTTTAACGGAATTCTCATATCCTCTGTGGTAAAAGCCGTGGAAATACGACGCCGTATGACGTCTCTGTCCCCTCACCGCATTTCCAGTTCACGTCACAGTGGCGAGCAACAAAAGATCACCAAGATGCTCATCACTGTTGTGTTAGTGTTCCTGTTATGCCAGATTCCTGGTGCTGTTCTCATGATGTATAGCACTTACCTTGAACTTGCTGAAGTCAGTCTATCAAAATCAATGCGCAACGACCTTAAAATTGCCGCAAATTTTACCAATTTTCTCATACAGATAAACGCTTCTATCAATTTCATCTTATACTCTCTCATCAGTACCAAATTCAGACGGGTTTTCTACAGAACAGTATGTACAAAATCAAAGAAATATGCGTCTAAAGCATACAGTAAGAATTCAGAATTCAGTGCAATGACGACGTACAGACTAGGATCACTTCATTCGGTACGGGAACCTGTCTATCATCTCGCTGGGTGTAGAAAGATCGGAGATGCCAGCTCAATGTGTCAGCAGAATCTCACTCAATATGAGGATGGAAGTCTTCAGGATATCAGACAGACATCCAACATGTAAAACAGATCATTATATCTGATCAAAGGGTTTACAATTATCGAATGCCAACTGCCTTTTCCGCACTCTTCTTGTAAATATTGAGTCCAGATTTCACAAGGTCTTACGTCAATTACCTTTGCACATCTTTTATTTAAATGTGACGCTCTAGTGTTTTGATGTGTGGTGTATGGCGTATAGTTAAAGTAATTAATATTTTTGTTATTCATATCCCAGGAGTCTTTGATCAGTCTGTAATGTGAAAACCAATTGGAGTCCTGTGGCGACGCATATTCTGATTCCAGACAATTAACACGGTCTGTAAGGCCTATACATAACTTTTTCTTTCATAAGGCGTGTTAGAGTTAATCATTGAGCGTGACAGCTGTTCAGCTTTGCTTGGCAAATCCCTTGTGATACATCGACTGGGTTTGTCTATTTTATCAACATATCATCAATCAAAATGCCACACAATGTTGAGCACATCCAATGTATCGGACTGATGGTGATATATACCAATCCTCCTGTCTTCACCATATGTTTTATATAAGCCATGGGGTTTGATCATGAGAATTGTGACAGTACAGATCTTGCTTGTGATGTCAAGTTCCAGGTCACCAATATTCTACATTTATTTCGCTCATTCTCACAGCAGTGCCAGACTGTTGGGAAAAATGAATACATATCACACTGTCTCGCATATCAGAAGAACATTTAACTGAAAATATACCAGCATCTAACACAAATCTCGTAGTTTATGTTTTACCTGTATCAGACGTTTCACGTGCAAGGTTTTACAAACTGGCTGCTCTCAATAGAAAGGGTGATCTAGATGACAATACAGTGTTCACTGATGTTGTTTGTATTCCTTCAGTGGTATAACATATGCATGGCTAGATTTTCTAAGGCGTGAAGTGGTTTCACACATGTACACAGCCATGTAATTCTGAAAACACAAGTAATTGTGTGAGAAAAGTAAGTCTCTGTCACCCAAAACAAATTATCATTTGGTTCCAGGTTTGTCATTCTATACGTTATTGTCATTTGTGTGTTTGATATTATCTCCTTATGCCACAAACGATTCATTTTGGGACGATTCCAAATTTGCCCTGTTTTAGGTGTGCCAGCACCATACCCTTGCTTGGAAGTGATAAACGACTACAACCGGCATCACCACGGGTTAACTCAAATATTAAGCTGACACGCCGTGATATAACTTGAATACTGTCCTAAGCGGCGTCAAACCCAGCATACTCACTCACTTACCCACTCAAATCAAAGTTATTTGGCAGTTATGCTTTCGAGAAGTAGATTTTGTGCCTTTTCTTAAAGTGTTGCTCAGCGAAACCATCACTGAAATTATTTGTTCCTGGGTGAATGTATGTTCAGGTAAAAATATACATCAGAAGAATTTGGTTCAATGCTGATAATAAAAATGGCAATTCTATGTAATCATCCTTTTATCCTGTTTCCTTCTCAACTAAAATTTTGCTATCCTTTGAGTGGTCATATTTCAATAGAAGTATTATTATGCTTCATGAGAGTCAAACGAACATTTCGCACCGATCGTGGATACCTACGTAACCCGTGTTATATACCAACATGCTTCCACAATGGCGACTGCAACCAGACAATGACGCGTCCCGTTTCGGGATATCTCAAAACAAAAACTTTTTGAAGAAAAGGCAAATTAGGTGAGAAAATGATATGAATGGACCTACTACAATCGGACAAGACACCAGATGTTTGCGAAAAGGGTAAAAATATCCTGTCCTACAAGTCGCACCTACTAGCCACAGAATTTATTCATTTCCCGAGGCCGCATAGCCGTACTCCGGAACAAAACATACGTTCAAGTGATGTACCATATGTCATCTTCGGGATAAAACTTTTTCTTTGTAAAGTGGAAATTGTTGTATGTTTTGGTTGAGCTCCCTCCGGGATTCGCTGCCCTACTCTCAGAATGAGGCAACAAATCGCATTTCTAAATATTAAGCATGTTATGTTCATTTGAATGGTCGATGGACCAAATGTTGCAGTTTCACAATAGTGCATTTACTGATTTTGTTGACAATTTAAGGGAATCCCTCATGATCTTGAAAGATATTCTGTGACTTTGTGGAAATAGGTACTACATTGTATATTCAAATATTTTGTGGATTTTCCCCGTAACAACGTTTGTTCAAGGCTGTGGTAAGCTTGGGCCTAAGCATAAACAAACCTAACAAAAATGAGCCCAAACCCTTTAAAGTCAAGAACAGACATTTCTGAAGATTATTGAAATTGATATAACAATACGCGAGTTTCATAGGAACTCTGCGTTCCCCAAAGTGAGACCACCAACAGTCAAACTTGACACGATCAGTCTTGCGTTTGGTGCGGGTGGCTAGTATTCCTTAGAGCTTTTGTGTGAATATCACCATATGCTTTAAAATTTGAATTATTGATAATAATGTTCTCATACACATAAAATGACATATTGCACGATGTGTTGACAGTTTTAACATTCTATATTTTCTCATACTGTATTACAAAAACGTGTTGTCTATATTTTCACGTTTTGTATTCTTGTGATTTACCTTTAAAACTGAATGTAAATTGTGGAATAAACACATGTGGTTTGAATAAATGCATTTGTTTCATGAAACTTTCCTGTCCAGGATCATAAATACCTGCTGTTGATCAGTGGCGATTTTTACTATTGCTTTTATTATTCCTATGTACATAGTGTTATGTTTTTAATTGAAATTTTATGTCTGAAACTCTGTTACAGAGAATGGACCCTCATCCAGGGAAGTGAAGGGCCCAATGTCACTTATGTTTAAATGTGAGGACAGGTTTCAGATCTTTTCTGTGCATAACTAAACACACAGGTAAATATTAGTATTATTATTATCACTATATACATACTATTATGATGCCATCAATGGGGCAGATGGTTTATTAGATTTGTGATTAAATTCATACATTGGAATGTTACTTTTAAGTCTAATTGTAAGATCAAATCGAAATAGTTTACCCGGGGATTTCGTTTGATTTTTGAAAAGGTTTTGTCGTTATTACGTAAATGAATAATTTCAAAGAATATGAAAAATCGGCACAAGTTTAGACAAATCAAGATCACCGTTCTTTTTGTTTTATGAGAACTGATTTGCCCAATATATGGAGTGCATTGCAGCTCAGATTTAAATGATATCCATTTAACAATATTTAATATGCAAACAATACATTGTAAAATGCTCACCACCCTTATGACGTCAAAGCACAAACAAAGTATATATATCAGAAAATAAAGTTAGGGGGTTTCCGAGGAACAATTAATGAATTTTTCTTGGCGTTTTATGTACTTTCACTTTTTCAGTACACACTGTACATCATCGTCCATCTTTTATAATACAGGATAATACAGTTATCCCCAGGAATGTCCAAATGTAGCCCTTTGCCGGAACAAGTGAGGCTATCGATTCCCCAACTACAACTGCTTTTCCAGCTGTCTGGGTCAGGTGTTTAAGTACCCGTTATGACATAAATCCGTTTTAATATGACAGACTGGACACACGCTCTTTGACTGGTTCCAGGTTTGTTCATCGATCTAAGAAACACGTCCACGCCAGGTGGATTAACGTCAGTTTTTCATGACAACACCATCAATTTTGATTCATTACCTGCGTTTTAATCAGGGAGTCAGTATAAGTTTCAATTATCTCATGACGTGTCAGATTGGCGTAGGAGGAAAACCCGAAGTAATGCAGGTTTTAGATATAGGTTTTACCATATGTACCCTTGGAACAAAACAAACACTGAGATTATGCTATTGAACCTAATGAAAACATACCAGCGAATCTAGAATTCGATCCCACGATCATAGGTTGCTGGCACCTCCCGCAAAAAAGAACTTCGTCGGCTCTGACGACTCAAGCTAACCAGACGAGTAGTAGACCGTGTCGGATTTTTCGCTTGGAACAAATTCCTTATTTCAGTTTTATTCCAGTGTTGAATCAAAGCCAAACGAAGGTTGTAGTCGTTTACTTCTTAAGTGATCCAACCTTCAGGATCACGTGGCGCTGACACATCAAAGGCATTCGAAAAGAGCCTGGGATTTGAACCAATAACCGCCTGGCAGAGAACGCTCTCAGCAACACGATTTGTGAATTTGTAAAAGGTGAAAATAATAAGCAGTATAATACATAGTAAGCACATTAATTCAGGGTGATCCTTTACGATCCTACTAGGGTTACATAAAAACAACGACATTACCCTAGATGCTGTATTTGTTAATACGAACTATTTCACCAGAAACAGACTGAGTGCTGACCTGATTAACTTTTTTTAATTGGCTGAAGGTCCTCGCAACGTCGATATGAAAATGGGAGAGGATATGTAGGCAAGAAGTTGGTATCTCCATGGGCTGCTATTGTTTTTCGGTAATGCAAACCACTGGAATTAGGCCACGAGGTTTAAATTCAAGCTTCTTATAAAACGTTGATGTGACAGCGTTCAATTATTGTAAAAGTATCTTCCATTGATTTATCAAGTTGAACCTGAACTCGAAAATGGAAAAGTGAAACCGCCTCATCTGTTGCATATTTGGATTATATTCATAAACGTTCTGACTGACATAGTTCTACGTACATTACTGTATTACACGCGTATGGCTTCATCTTTCCAACTGTCAACTTTCCCTTTATGTGAAGCAAGATACCAACATTTACTTTTACCAAAACATTCAGTGTGATAATGAAGCATTCAAAAGACTCAACTTCAGCGGTGACTTCAACTTTGATGGTTTGGGAAATGGTTTGATGGTTTCAACTTCACATTTTTTATGTTCAAAGTATCTCAACACGATTGCATGTAGCTGTTACACTCCGTTTTTATAGTGCCCACTTCCTCAATTCTAAATATGTAGTAGCCATGTTGTGGATATTAATAAAGTTAATGATATATTACTCATGGATATATACGTAAATTCTACCTCAAGTATTTGTTGTACTTGTTATATATGACCTTTCCGTACTATTCAC